TGATCCAGTAAGCAGTGCTCAGTCAGTAAGTCAATTAACAGATACTTATGAAATGTCCACATAAATACAAGCTACAAAGAAGTACAGACGTTCTTTGAGCAGTGAGCTCTGCGTGTTTTTTAATTTTTATTTTTTAAAAAAGATTTTATTTATTTGAGAGACAGAGAGAAAGAGCACGAGCTGGGGGAGGGGCAGAGGCAGAGAGACAAACAGAATCCCGGAGGAGCAGGGAGCCCGGTGCGGTGCGGGGCTCCATCCCAGGATCCTGAGATCATGACCTGAGCCAAAGTCAGACGCTTCGCCGACTGAGCCACCCAGGAGCCCTTTGTTCTGAAGGATAGCATACGTACGGAAAGGTGTGCAAATCCCATTGTGGAGTTTGACAACTTTTCCCAGACTGACCCATTACAGATCAAGAAACAGCCTCAGCAGCGGCCCGCAAGTCCAGTCCTGTCTCTCGTCACCTCCCAGCCAGCCCTGCCCCGGTCTGCAGCCTGACAGCGTAGTCTTGCTTATTTTCATGTTATCCAAGTGGTAGCATACTGTAGGCTTTTCCGGGGAGGAACGACATCTCAGAAGAATTGTTTTCAAAGGGTTCACCTGTTCTCATCTTCGGGCGGGTGGAGAGGACACCAGGTCAGCAGAGCCCTGCTCCCTGGGCTTCTGCCCTTCTCACACTCGTCCAGAACGTAGCCAGGAGGAGGGAGAGTCTCCTCGGTGCCAGCACCAGCTGCCGCGGTAGGGGCCAGCATGTTAGTAGTTGATGGTAGCACATAGGCTCTTCTAGGAAGAGTGGAGAGAACAGGGAGGTATTCAGGTTGGCTGACTGCCAGCACCATCGCCAGCCTCTGTGACCTTGACCGAGTCATCTGAGCACTTGGAACTTCAGCTTCTCTCCTGTGCCATGGGCGGGCCGGCTGCAGTTCCTGTCAGCGTGAAGTTCTGTGCACCATGAGATACAGGGGGCTTATGCTGAAAAGCTTGCAGGAAGATTGAAGCAAAGCTAAAATTTTATACAAATGCCATTTACTGTCTCCTCTTCCTTCCACCCACCTGCCCACCCACTTCATTCATTGTAGAAATCCATGAGGGCTTTAGAAGAGAAATGTCTTAAGACAGCACTACCGTTTCAGACCTACGTTTGGTCCACCTGACCCTCATCAGAGGGATCAGACCGTCAGCACCGCCCACCAGGAGCTTGGCTTAGTTGATTTCACTACTTAGTTTATTGTAGTGAGCGTGGTAGTAAGTGCACCCTTTCCCTTGTCCTGGTTCTTTCCCCTCTTCCTGCTCCCTCTCCTCTCTCCCTGCCCCACTCTCTGTCATACCCTTGGAGGAAACCATGCAGTTAATTGGCCACAGGGGTTCCCAGTAGACAGGATATGACAGCGCCTCTCGGTTGATCCCAGCCTGATGAGTGTCTGGTGGCTGCCCCCGCTCCTTCTCTGGGAAGGCCGGGATTTTGATTCAGATCAGGGAAGGAAGAGGGGTGCTGCTACTGGGCGGCTGTGACGAGCGAGGGGCCGCTGGACTGGTGGCAGGGTGCTCAGGGACACGTGGTAGGGGCCTTCCAGCTCGGGCAGGTACTCGGCATGCCCTCTCTGGGGACGTGGGAGAGGATGGTGTGGGGCTGGAGGGTCTGGGCTTTCCAAGGGGAGAAGTCCAAGGAGGGGGGCTGGCTTTGGTCCTTCCCCCCAACTTGGGGACTGGTGGCACTCCCTCCCTCCCTGTGTCGTGGTTCTTCCGAGGGCACACCTAGGAGCTGCTGCTGATCAGTGTGGTTCCTGGACAGGCCTTTTATCTTTTTACAGAGGAAACCGTTTCTGTTCTCTTAAGTGTAGATTCCGGCCACAGACACTGACCACGTGGGTACCACACACAAGTGTGGACAAAGGCACACCAGCACTTGCATTTGCTCTCTCAGGCTCATGCACAAGATATGGCTGGTGGAATGGTTTCTGTTTGTTGATGCTGTTTCCTGCTTCCCTTTGCTTTGTTTATGCTCTTCGGTGGCCCTGAATTTTTACTTTTCAGATTCCGATTTATCCCTTGCCAGTCTTATGATCTAGATTACAGCAGAGTTGATTGAGGTCATTATAATTCTTTTGAGACCTTAGCACTGGGTTCCTACCAGAACAAAGAGAGATGAAGATGAACATCTAATTTCTTTAGTTACGTATGGATTGAAACAAATTTACCATACTTCTTCCAGATAAGTTAATTACAGCCCAATTTTCATTAGGTTTCCCTCAGCCAGAGGTGCTCCTTAGCTGACTGGGCTCTCCCGAAGCTATTGAATTGGACTCTCCAGGGTAGGGCCTGGCGTCTGTATCATGAAAAGTCCTCCATGACTTTGATGCACTGGTGGTAAATGTCCCTTCCAAGTCTAAAATCCTGTTACTTAATTTTATAATTCTTTTTTAAAAAATCAAAGTAATATGTGCATATAGCTCTAAAATCCCACAATACTGAAGAGTAGAATAAGAGAAAGTTGTTTCTTTTCTCTGCCCGTCCCAGAGGGGGTGGTCCGATTGGTTCCTTTCTCGTCCATCTATGTAATTTTTCCCCTAGTTACACATTTGCCAGTTACTTTTATTTGCTAAATTTTTTGTGAACTTATGAGTTCAGTTTTTTACCTATATTCCAGTAGATCTGTCAAGTGCTATCAATAATTATTCCAGTGCTCAAATATCTATTCGTTTTTAAAAAATACCCCTCTAGCTCCTGTTGGACTGGCTTCGTCTCTGGATCTAGTTCATGGACGTCTTGTGGTTTCTCTCTCTCTTTCCTTTTCTGGGTCCTTCTTTGGCTTCTTTTGTCCTCTTTTCTCAAGAAGAGGAACACGGGACAGATTTTTTGAGTGTTTGCATGTCTGAAAAGGCCTGTTTTACCCTCAGACTTGAATATCAGGTGGTTGTTATTTTTGTAGAAGATTTGAAGGCACAGCTCTCTTCCGTCCAGCTTTCAATATTGTTGGGAAACCCAGAGACTGTGTCATTCCTGATCCTTTGTGAACTGATTTCTCTCTAAGGACTTTTTTTTTTGGTCTGTTGTTTTTAGCAATTTGATTATTATGTGTCTGGATATAGGTTTTTCTTGGGTTAATCCTATTTGTGGTTCACTGACCTTCTGGAATCTATAAGTTTACGTCTCTTGCCAAATTTGGGAAGTTGCCAAGCATTATATCTTCAACTGCTTTTGAGCTCTGCGCTTACTTTCCTCATTGTGAGACTCCGATGACGTGAACGTTACTGTCCCCTGGCCCCTTGAGGCTCTCTTCTTGGGAGCCATTCCACCGCTACAGAGAGGGGTTGCACATTCTCGCCACAGTGGGATTGGCCCGGGGGTGTCCGGGGAGTGGGGGGAGATGAGGGGAGATTAGCTGATACCCTCACCTGTGTGGGAGGCAGTATTTGAGAGGGATGCTTTGGGGAAGTTGGGGCAGAATTAGCGTTAGCACGTGGAAAACAAGGGCGGTGAAGAGAGTTGGGGGAAGGTGCTGTTTTGGTGCCCTGGCCCAGCACTGACGCACAGTCTTACAGGTGGGTGTCAGCCTTTGGACGCACATCTGTAAGATCGCGTGATGAGGGGGGCGCCGAGTGGCGGGTCCTGGTTGCAGGGAGGAAGGGTTTCACGCGGTGGATGAGTCCTGAGCCGAACTAGCTGCTCTTTTCATGGCACATCCTTTTGGGCATTTGGCAGGCATTTTCTGGAAAATGAACAAAGCGAGCTGGCACTTTAAGGAAAACAACCGGAAGTGTTTGTTGCCGGTGATGAAATTTGGAGATATTGAAGAACAAGATAGAGAAGATCCATGTAGCTTAGTGAACCAGTATTTTACAGATGACCAGTGATGATGACAGAGTCATCCGTGGGTAGAGAATCTACTCAAAGTGCACGATAGGCCAGTAGATTTTAATGCCATGGAGTATGGGTTTATTGCTATGGTTTCAGACTCCACATTGCAGATAGTCTTAAAGAAGCTACCACGTGTCGAGTTTTGGTGTAGCATCAAAGATAGTATGACTGTCTCAAAAGGCTCTTTAAAGTGGCCTCCCCTTTCCTGTGACGTCTGTGTGTGAGGTGCGACTTTCCTCCTGTATGTCGACCAGAACCGCATTTTGTAACAGATGAATGCAGACGCAGATGTGTTAAACCAGGTATTAAAGAAATTTGCAAAAAAGGTGGAACAGTACTATTCTCATTAATTTTTTTGTAGAAGTCATTTTTCATAATAGGTGTTTTTGTTCAAGTGTCGTGGGTTAATACTTTTAAATGAATGATTAAAGAAATATTTTTAAAATTTCTCATCTTGAGTTTGAATACAGCAAATACCAATAGATACAGCCACTTAAAAGTTGTTTGGGTTTCTTCATAATTTTAAAGAGGGCAGAGACGTCTCGAGACCAAGTAAGTTTGAGAAATTGCTGGTTAGAGTTATTTGCCCTGGAAGCCACTCCCGAAATGGGTGGGTTAGCCCCAAACACACGGGTGTGCTTACGAAGCTGGTTCTTGGGGAAGACCCAGCACAACAGAAGTTACTTAGAACGCATCACCTTGGTCTTTTCATCTTCCTCCTGGTCCTTGGCGTGAGGGAAGCACTGTGTGGCCCTCACTGCAGCCCCCCTCTTTGCACAGAGGCCCCTACCAGGCCCGTGGCCCACCCCACACAGCCTGCAAGGAGCACAGGAACAGCCCGCAGGAGTGCAGGGCGACCACGGGGCTGAGTGACGAGCGCAGGGAGGAGAGGAAACTTCACGGGGCCAGCGAGTCTGACCAAACCACTTTTCTCTAGAAAGGTGAACAGGTGTGGCATTTTGTCCTGTTTGGGGGCATAGCAGTTCCCTACATCTGGTTAAACACAGAAAACCCCCAGTTGTGTCTTCCTCGGTCCAAGGTGACTCTGAAGTGAGTGATGGAAGAGGAAACCATGAGAGACAGGCTCAGCAGCGGAGGAAATGAACGGGTAACAAACTTTCTGCTTTTTATTGCTTCTTCAGATCCTCTGTCGATGGGGCCTCAGAAAGCTCTGGAAACCATCGGTGCGAATTTGCAGAAGCAATACGAGAACTGGCAGCCAAGGGTAAGTGCTCTTTATTTGCTTTTCTCTTTCTTTCTTACAGGGAAGCTTCAATTCCTTGCTTTCATACAGCCTTTGAATCCAAGTGAGAGGTTTTTACGGACCCTCAGCTCCCGTCCCTCAGTGGCCAGACACTCCTCACTGCGCCCCCTCCCCAGCGCTGTGGACGTGCCCTGTCATGTGTGAAGGTGCCCGGGAACTTGTGGGGCCTGGGCTGGACAGTCTCTTACTCATTTGGCGTGGGTTTCCCCCACAGACTTCAGACACTGAAAAGCATTTCTCATGTTACTCTTAAGTCATGGTTTTTCTTTTGCACAGGAAACATAGTTTCAGTAACTTTCCTGCAACCTCAACTAGTTAGAGCTATTTCTCCCGTCTTCAATTTTCAGACAGTTGAGAAAAAAAGGACTCAACATTGAAAAGATGACACCTATTATATGCTTTGTCTTTGATTCAAAAGGTAAGGTTCTTTTTAGGGAGCCAGCCACCAATTACTGTGCCTTTTGTTGCTTATATCTTACAGTTTCGTGGTTTTGTTTTTTTAAAGTGGAATACAGTAACTGTGTCAAATTGCCTTTTAAGATCTTAAGTTTTCTCGTGAACCACCCAAGACCCATTTCCTTTAGCCTTGCTCTTTAGCTGGTTTGAAGATGTAATAATTGTAGCAGCAGATTAGAAATTTGGGGTGTTCATGGAGGTGCCTTTCTGTTCCACTTTGTGTGGCGGGCTGGCTCTGGAGTTCTCTACAGGGTGCAACCATGGTGGGTGGTGGTGGTCTTGCTCACACGGCTCCCGAGAGCCTTTGCGGTCTTCGCCCTTCCTTTTTGAGTGTCTGCCTCATGGAAGCAAGTGGCTTAGGGCCCCCAGAGAACCCTGCCTGCTTGGCTTTCATCTGTGGACTGTTTATCCACGTGACCTGGAATTAGGGATTCTTTGCACGTCATTTGCATTCTAAGAGAACAGCCAGAAATGAATCTGTGGGTGGCTGTCACCATGCCCACAGGTCATTTCTGCTGCTGCCCATAGTTGTGGGATGACTGAGTGGTGGGGACCACGTCCCTATGTGTCTTAGGGGGCAGCAGGGTCTAACTTGTGGAGTCGATAACCACAGACCCCCAGTCTTCAGAAGGCAGTGTCTTAGTGATGACTTTGATCTATGCCTAAGGGCTTTGCTTCTTCCTCTGTGGGATTTGTTACCTCTTGCTGGTTACATAAAAACTCTGGAGCCTTTCTCGTGAGGGTACAATGCCTTTGGGCTTGGATGAGGAACCAAGAGTTCCATGGTGTATCCCTTTGAAGACAGTTGAGATGCCCACTGTTGTCAGTAGAAACTCGCTTCTTTGAGGACTTTGAAGGCACTCCGGGATCTCTGCGACACTCCCCAGGTGCTGAAGGGAGCGCGTGTGGTGCACACAGACTCTCAGTCCGCGTGTGACAACACACACAGGTAACGTCTGTCGGGAGACTTGACGTCACTGGCATCTAGAAGGTGGAGAACCAGCAATATTCAAATTTAAAAGAACGCCTTTCTGACTTACCTACATCGGACCATCTCCTGGGTTTGACATCATGCTTTGGCTTTTTGCTGGGTTCATTTATTTAAAAGAGAATGCAACCAGATAAATTCAGATCTACCAACTGCGTTCTTCACAGAACAAGCTCTGCTGTTTTAATTACGTTCTTCCTTTTAAGGAAATATTACATGAGAAGATACGGTCTTTCAGAATATGGGTTTAATATTTCTAGATATTGTATGTTTATTCCATTTGGTATGATTTACAATTTTGGGGAGTGCTAAGAGTTGATTTACTGCTAGCTTTATTATTAGTTAACTTGGTAGGCATCAGCTAGTTCATGCTAGCTGGCAGTAAATGGAATCTTTGAAAGTAGGATCTATTATTATTTTTAATCTAAATTTCTTTCTATGAGCAGATCTCTCCTATGGCATCTGGAAGAGGCATTACCATGTAAGGCAGGCAGCATTTACATATAGGGACATGATCACAGATCCAGAAATGACGGTAGAATCAGGTCTGGGGTTGAGAAGTCACCTTCTCGCCGTGGCGGGAGGGTGACCGTGTGAGATGAGCGGTAGCAAAGAGGGTGCAGTCCTCCAGGCGGATGTTGTTAGTCTGAGACATGTGTTCAGAGTTTCATGGGATTTCAAGAATGGATCTGCAAGGTAATGTTTTGAAGGAGAGAGGCAGTTCAAGAGGCTCGTGAGGGAGGGAGTTTCTAGATTGTAGAGTGCTTAAGAAAAGGTGTGGGTGCACGGGGCCGGTGGGACCCCGTCGGGGCTGGTTTGTAGGGAGGGATCGGAACATGCCAGCCGCACTGTAGAAAGGAGCCGTTCATGCCGCCGACCGAGTGGGCTCTTTCGCCTGCATTCAGGAAGCAGAACTACAGCAACGGATACTTAGTATTTTGTTTTGAATGTCAAGACGATTGCATTCATTTTTAAGCATGATAAAAAGGTTTAAAATTTTGCTGCTTCCAACTGTTAGTGGGATGCATCTGTTCAGAAATGAGCCTGAGCTTAGTAAGGGGTGCGTCAGGAGGGCTTGCCGGCTTGCTGGTGCCGTCGTTGGGCTGTGCTCTACGCGCCAGGCAGTAACAGTCCGCACTCTGGTGCGAGTGGCATGCTTCTCCGCTTTCTGGAAGCTCCTGTGGGTGACAGGAGAGGGAGGGAGGCTGGCCTCATGCTGCCTCCCAGAGTTTGCACAAAACATGAGACAGTTACCAAGCTCAGATGTTCTGTGCAAGGTGGCCTGTTCCTAACTGTAAGTCAGGGTCTTTTGAAACATTGCAGAGCTAAACACACACCACTTTACTGCGTTCTACAGGGCTCTCGAGTGCTCTGCGTAATAGAGGCTCATGTGCCATCTGCAATAAAACAACGGGAGTGTTAGTAAATTTCTAGACCTTTGAGGCAGACTCCTCTAGATCTGGTCTCCTCTTCCTCCGTGTCCTGTACTACGAGGCTCAGAAAGCCGGCGCAGCTGGAAATGAGGTCCTGTTCATTAGTGTTGGCATGCCTCCGCAAGGCTGTGGGTGGGACACGTGGGACCCTGCTACCGACCACGGGAACCCTGCCCACCTCGTGCCTCGGAGAGCCAATGTCCTTCCTCGTGTTCTCCTCCTTGCTTTTCTAGCTTTAACTCTGCAGGAATAGACATTTTGATAAGGGTGATTTGGGGTCAAGAAGGAATTTAGAGAAGCCATGATGGTGATATTTTTTTTCTGAGGCTGCCAGACTGTCAGGCCCAGATTTTCTTTCCAGGCTGATTGAACCCTTGTCTAAATAATTTATCAGTTTGCCACCAGTGAAATACTTCTTTTGATTAAATTTAAGGCTCTGCCTTACTACCTTGTAGGTACATAAATTGGTGTCCTGTAGGAGACCGAAGGAAGAATGCCAGCTGTTGTTCCAGCTGACTGTCGTGCGGGGAGACCTCACTCCTGTCAGGGGAAGCCCCAGCTGGGCGTGTGACTGGGTGACAGCAGTGGGGATTACAGAGTCGAGCGTATCTGGTGAAGAACGCATGTTTCCGAGGCTTTCTCTAAGCACTCGGGGCTTCTGGCAGTTTAGTGCAGGGCGTAACGGGCCGGAGCCGATGGGGTGGGGGGCCCACAAATGAGGGTCTCGTCCTGTCGCTCTGTCCCTACAGTGCTGCAGACCCGAAAGCAAATGGAGGTGGGAATGTTTATAGCTCACTGTAAGGCGGGTGAAGGAGCTTGGCGAGGCGTCCACTGTTGGCGGCATCTGACTGAGTGCATTTTGTCCCAGTAACATAGCAGCCTGCACGTGTCTGTGAAAGGGGACAGAAAATGCCCTTTGGAGCCTCCCTGGAGCGCACCCTGTGTGTGGTAGGTGCTCCTCCGGGAGGCAGGTCTGCGGATGCAGAGGCGGTGCAGGTGAGCCGTGGCCGTGGGCCCCAGGGGGCGGGCGTGCTGGGCACTTCTGAGGACAGGGTGGGATCGTGCATTGTGTCCTGTCCTGCAGTTTGCCGTGCTCCCCTGCTCGGTCACGGCTGCTGTGCGGTTGAGGAATGGAGGTCGGTGTGCCGGTTAGACCTGTGTTTGTGCTTCCCGCCCGGCAGAGCGCATGCAGGGCCAGAAGTCTGTCTGGGACGAAGCCGGGCTCCGCCACCTGGTCATCAGCCAATTGCAAATAATTGTTGCATTTGAATTTGAGTGACAAAGGCCTTTCCTTTGTTTTTTTTTTAAAAGATTTTATTTTTTGACAGAGAGACAGCGAGAGAGGGAACACAAGCAGGGGGAGTGAGAGGGGGAGAAGCAGGCTTCCCGCCGAGCAGGGAGCCCGATGCGGGGCTCGATCCCAGGACCCCGGGATCATGACCTGAGCCGAAGGCAGATGCTTAATGACTGAGCCACCCAGGTGCCCCATCCTTTGGTTTTGATCACAGAGCTGCTTGCGTGCTCGGAGAGCATGCTTGAACAAACAGCACTGCTGACTGGACTGTTTGGTGTGAGGGGGCGTCCGGGGGGTGGGCTAAGGCCAGTGGACAACTTCGTTCACTCTGGGGCATTCACGGGCTCGTTCTGTAGGTTTTAGGCACGGGTGTTGTTTGCCAACCCCAGCACTTAGGTATTGGCGGGGTTGTGGGTAGGATATCTCCTTGCCTCTTCCCTGGGATGGGGCGGATGGTGTGACCCTCATCTCAGGGAGAGAGCATCCGGTGGCCTGTTCAACGAGCTGCCAGGTGTTCAAGCTGGGAGGTGCTAGGGGAAGGGCTCTACCTGGCCAGATCGCTGGGCTGCAGCCCACCGCACAGCTGGGTGACCCGCCGCCCCGGCCTGCAGTGTCCTTCCTGGGGCTGGTCACAGTGCTTGGGACCCACAGCCTGTGGCGCCTCCCTCTTTGGGGTGGGAGTAGGGGCAGAGGAGTGCGTGAGCGCTGACAACTCGCCCACCTGACTCCCTTCAGTGTCCTGGAGTGAACTTTATACAGGGATGCGGTAAGGCTCACAAGTGAGTGGGTT